AACTTAGAAGACATGAAGCCAAAAGAGGTACCTTCCATGGTATTGCTATGTGCCTGTGTGTGTGCTCACATATCTTCATTGAGGCTATGATCTTTCCCTATCAAGGTTTTATGGAAACTTGTCAAAGAAAAATAAAGCAGCTGGTACACATCTGGACACGAGGCCTCTTATCTTTGACCACTGTGATGTTTGGCATCTTGCATCTGATCTAGATTCTGAATGTTTGGTTGTTTTTTAAGGTATGACTTGGGAGTTGGCTCTGGTGGAACCTGCGAAGTCCACACCCTCTGCCAATGGTAGAGACTAACCACAGGGATCCCAAGGCAGCTCACCACAGATACTCACACGGACCCCAACTAAGTGTATGGGAATTCAGATCTTGCAAAGAGTGCAGTTTTTGGAGACAGATCTAGATCCGGATTCTGATTTTTTTTTATTGCTTAGCTTTATGATCCTGGGAAAATGATTCACTATACTCATCTGTAAAGTGGACTTAATAAAGTCTACCTAGTTGTGTTGCCTGGCCAAATTATGTGGACACAGTAGGAATTAAAACCCTATTATGTTATTCTAAATATAACTGCTTAATAACTTTGAGTACAATCACCCCAGAAGAATCCAAATGGAATGGCCAGCAGGCAACATCGGCAGTTAAAGATAATAATACATTACGACTAGATAGGACCTTAATAAGCATTGGATCCAACTCCTTCATTTCATACCCCCAGAACATTAGGATACGTCAATAACAACCTTTTCAAGGACACCAGCCAGACGGTGTCAGAGTTTTGATGAATGAAGACAGCTCCCCTTATGAATTAAAAATGTCATTAATGGCTCCAAAACGAGTAAGCTGAAACATCAAAATAAAGTCCTATTGAGTGAATGATTATTGTATTTTGGACTTTCAGGTAACTAGACCCTCCCCTTACCTTCCTATATGACAAAGATGATTAGCTTGTACATAAAATCCATATTTCGGCAGATTTCTGACAGGCTAAAGGCTTTGGATCACCAACTAAAGCTCTCAGGAACATTTCAAACAATATAACATACTTTGTTTTGTAACACATGGGCACTGAAAAGTAAAGCAATGTAGTAAAGAAAAACTGAGTCCCACTAAGAAAGAAAAGGCAAGCGGAAGAGAAGCAGAAAAACAACCTGGCAATTTAGAGGACAGGCATTCACTAGATTGAGAATGGGGTGGGGGTGAGTGAGCTTATTCATATGGAAAGAAATTTTCCCATAATTCTGTAACCTTGTGTTGAAATTGCTAGTCTAGTTTTTCATTTATATCTTCCAATTGTAGAAATAGGAATCTGGTTTGGAGATGAGGTCTATGTGAAGAAAAAGGGAAGAGAGCTCATATGGACCATCAAAAATAAGCCCATGCAAACATGGGAAAATCTTTAGGACTCTTCCAAATGAGTATTATATACCTTCTTCACTGCTGCTGATAGCAAATGCCACAAAAAATATACCACAAAAACTTGCCTGCTGAAAGAAATCAGGCTGATCGTTGCTTGTTTATAATATTACCTATTGATTGAGTTTCAGCATAAGCTCCAGATAACTCAAGCTATAGCGCATCTCTTCATTTGAAGATCTCTATAAATATAATTGGCATCCTCTTATATTTTAGATGAAGTTCTGTCTGTGATGAAAGGGCTAAAATAAAGAGTTTTTTACTTATCTCTCAAGGCTATTGTGTGTGAACCTAATATGTAGCAATGAACAGATAAGATGCTCGCAGATGATTAAAAGTGACTTATTGGTCAAAATTAAGGCTCTTTATACTCACATAACATCTGATTAGTGTTAAAAATAAAGTGAGTCATGGCCCTAGAAGTGTCCCATGCATCTCTCTTATCTTCTGAACGCAAGTACTCCCATTAGAACGTTCTTTCAACATGCCCAATGTTTGCAGAAACTCCTCAGTAAAATATTAAGCAGCTGTTCTGTTTGGGAGCAGGTATGTATCCTAAATGCTGTCTTATACCCAAGCATGTGAGCACAGGGAGGTTGAATAACCCGATGGGCATTTGACATCTTAGCTGTGGCATAACTAGGGATAGAACTTCATAGCATTTCAAACCCCTGGCTTCACTTTAACCATCAAGTCACATCGTTTATTCCTGTGTCAGAGGAGTTGATATTATATGTAAAAGCATTTCTCATTTAACATTGGCCTATCATATCTACATTTGAAATTAATTCCTTCAGGGTAAATCCAAAGAAATGTTGTAACTATTTAATATCCTGAAAATCTGGAATGGGGGAATTTTCAGGGTTTTTATTACTGGTAGGTAATTATGTTCTCTGCACAGTTTCATAATACCTATACCATAGTGGCCTTCTAAACTTTATTTTAATTTTGTTTAATTAGAAATGTATAAAATCTATAATTGGCTAAGCATTCATTTTTCCTCTGCAGGTAAATGCTCAAGTTTTGGTCAGATTATGAGAAAATTAAACACACACACACACACCATACACACAACAATAACAACAGCAAATTATTATTAGAAGAATGAAAACAGAAGTTGTTTTTACTTGAACAAAGTTCACAGGGATTCACAGGGATTATGGAGAATCTTGAGTAACTAACGCATTTTCAAGACTACTGTCACAATGACAAAATATTATTTCAAAATATAGAATGAATAAACCTGATAAAAGAACTTCTCCAGATAACTTATAAACTTGTACAAATTGACTATTCCTCAATATATGCATATAAATGTAAATGGGCTGTAGATAGATGGTAAACGAAAGCCCTGTATTTAATGGATGAAGTATGTGGACAATAGAGGTCTGGAAGAATTGTGGAATGTTCTTTTTTTCCCCTTAGAGGTTCTGCATCACAGGTTCTGAAGGCTACAAAGATGTACTGAGTTCAGAAGTAATTTGCTGGTGCTATTCTATTGTTCACTGAATTAATACATTTTGCTCAAAATAACAATATTTGTCATTATTTGTTAAGAATATTGACCTCAAAATATTTAACAAGCAGGGTGCATTCAATTGAAATGTTGATTGGAAATAGGGAAATTAAACTGTCAGTGATAAAATATTAAAGCTCATTATCACAAAGCTTCATTTTAAATTTTAGAATTAGCTTTATTATTGCATCAGTAATGACAAGCATGAGTCTTAAATCCATGCCATATAGATTTTATAAGCATTATTATAACATGACTATAATTCAGTTAATTTACAGAAAATGCCAATCTACAATTTACATTTCTCCTTGCTCCTAAGAAAATGTACTGCATAAGGAAGCCCAAACCAAATTCCTATAGAGTAGGTTCTATCTACTTCACCCTTATTCCTCACTCCACCTTTTTGTATCTTCAAAATATTCACTATTCTCAGATAGGTAAGTGTGCTAAAGGAAAACGGTGATTTCACTGCCACACCTTTGCACACTGGAACAATACTGACCTCTAGCGTTCCAGGAGGTAGACAGACTAGTTCAGCACCATGCCTAACTTCCTCTTACTACATATACCATTTAGATGTTTTTCTAAAACACCATGGGAACAATGTCACTTAAAAAAAAAAAAAGGAGGAGAAGCAGGAAGAGGTAGGAGAGGAGGAGGAAAAGAAAAATCAGATTCTAACCTGTCCCTACCTGTCCTCAGAAATAATTTTTAAACTAAGGCCCTTAGGATCCTCCCTTTTAGAGAGACTGACCTCTTCAGCACTCCTTTAGAAATACAAACTTTAACAAAACCTTTATAAGGCATTACCACTAACTATAGATTCTGGATCTCTAAAACTTCCAATCACAGCTAGAAACACTGGCTCTGCTTTGGACTGTTTTCAGTAAATAACATTTATCCAATTCTCTTCCCTTGAGTATAACTCTGGGTTAGGTCCAGGCCCTCTTGGACCTAAGAGAGTGGGGAGTGAAATAGAGGGACTGGTAGTAATGAGTAGTTTTACTACCTTTCTCTAACAGTGATGGTTCAGGTTATAAAAAATAATATTAGCATGTTCCAATAGAGTAAAACATTTCTGAGGTTCCAATGGGGTTAGCAAATACTCAAGGAAACTTGATAAACCATCTTTGGAAAACACAGATGGCTTAATTGCATTCTTTCTCATTTAGGAGTTTCCAGAGCTGGAAAACTTCCCTTTCTCTGCTTAGAGAGGCAGCTGAGCAATTGAGCTTAAACCTCTGATGGTTCCAGAGATTTATTCAAGTTTGAAGAACTGAGTTCTTTAAATACACAGTGCAGGTGTTTGATCCCCAGGTGTCCACCCTATCTATTACATTAAATGCTGTGCACTTGCCAACATTAGAGCTTCCACAACAGAGTGTACACTTAGTGAAGACTCCTCATAGGTTCCTTGACACAAAGATTTTGGGAGATGGATTGTGCATCAAAGCTCTTCCTCCTGTAACAGGGACATCCATTGATCTTATGGTTTGACTACGTTGGGCCATGACTCTTAGGCCCAAACTCCCAATCCTGTTAAACCAATGCCCATTGGTTGCAAGATACCCCAACGGGAGCCTTCTCCCTAGTGAGAGCCATGTATTGTGAGACACTGGACATACTGCAAACCCAAGGCAGCCGCATTCAGAGATGAGCTGCGGTCACCCAGTGCGTTGGCTGGGAAAATCTCTGTTTCTGGAAGCTCAGCCCCAGGCAGCGCTTACAATCTGAACCAGGGGCCTTCTCAGGAAAAGCCCTGGCTGAGATCACACAGGCACCGCACAAGGAGCTAGCAGGAGGCTAAGGGAAAAGACTCCTCCCTTCTTCCCTGAACTTTGCGATTAGGGAGAGGGCAAAAAATCCAGCAGGGCTGGATTATCCGAGCTCTGCTAACTTTTGGGATGGTTAGAGTGATGGAACGACACCGATCTGCATTTTTAAAGCTTTTCCTCTGCTCAGAGCAAGCACAATTGAACACGCTTTGGACAGTTAAGTATCTTTCCAAATACTAGCGTTTCCCACCTCACCTACATACCCTCAGCTCCTGGTACTCACAATTTGTCGCTGTTAATCCTAAATGCCACAAGCCGGAGAACAGCAAAGTGAAAACGCTGATCAGCAGTGGTACAGAATCCATTTCCCCCGAGTAAGCGGTCTCTCCCAATCGAATCCCAAATTCGCAGGCGCCAGCCGCGGCTTCGTGTGTGTGTGTGTGTGTGTGTGTGTGTGTGTGTGTGTGTGTGTGTGTGTGTGTGTGTGTGTGTGTGTCTTCTGCACCGCTCACCCCTTCCCACCCACCCCCTTGGAGAGGCACTGGCTGCTTCACTCCATCCCGTGCCGGGTGCACTACCGAACCCGTAGCGGGTCTTCTCCGGAACTGAGGCTGGAGCTACAGTCACCGCGACCGCCGCTTGCTGTGCTCGCCTGCCTCGCCCGCCTCTTTCTCCTCTCCCTCCTCCTTAAAGATGCAAATCCAAACCCAACTGCAACCACAGGCGCCCACTCGGTGGATGCTGAAGCAGGAATCAACACCCGGCCGGCGCACAGCTCCTTATAGGCGCGCGGGCTGCGCGGCGCCGCCCCCGACCCACCCGCCCCGCGCTCCCCTATCAGAGCCGCCGAGGCCGGTCTGCACCCGGCACCGCGCGGCTCCTCTCCCGCCGCCTGGTGCTGCGGTGCGCTTCAGCTACCTGGGAGGGGAAGGAGGAAGGGAAAGGGGGATCGCGCTGTCTCTCTCCCTGGGTTTCTTTCCCTTCCCCCTATGAGGGGGATGAGTAAAGGTATTGATATTTAAACAAGGTTTTCGAAGAACGCTGCTGAAGGGATCCTAAAATGAGTTGGAAGACAAAACGCATTGGCGAGAAGTAATATCCCATGCAAAGCTTTGCAAAGAGCTAGGAGATACATTGTTGTGGGGTTTTTTTGTTTGTTTGTTTTTGAGGGAAGGCTTTAATAATGCGATTTTCTTTTCTTGGTGCTTCCTCCGCCTCCCCCCCACCCACCCCCAGTATGGAAGGCTGATGGGTATTGAAGATACTGAAAATTCTGATTTAGCGGTTTTATATTCTGTCTGCTCCCCTGCTTGCGACCCTGCACCCTGTCTTCTCGCCCTTCCTTTCACCGCGGAGCAAGTCCACTCTCCTCCGCGCTGCAGGCACATATTTTAGGAAGGTGCATAGACTGCAAGGTGCGCGGTTCTGGAGCCCCAGCTGTTCCCTGGAGCCTGAGAGAGGGAGGAGCAGATTGGGAGTGGTAGCAATGAGAATCAGGGTGGGTAGTGGACTCATGAGATTCATTCTACATCTGAGGTCTCTGCTGGAGGGATTTAAGTTAAAAGGAAAGAAAAGAGTAGTTTTGGTTTCTTCCTAGAGGGTCCCTAGAGGTTCTGTCTTCAGCGGCTTCCAGCTTACATCTGGTGACTCCCCTGCTTTACCATAAATCAACTTATTTTTGTCTTTATTGGAAGCTGTCAGAAAGCTGTCAAATGTTAACATAATGAGAGCCACACTGATTTCTCCTGTGTGAAGCTTACAATCAAGTTGGGATGGAATCACTTCAAAGGAAGTCGATGTCTTCCTCCCCCACCCCCCAGTAGCAAATAGGCAGGCTTATTTTACAAGATACATTACTGACAACCCTTGGTTGGGTTCAGATGCTGGCTAGCTGCACAGCTACAACAGATTAAGCTGGGTTTCAAGCAGCTTCTGCATGAATCTTGAGGTTAACCTGTGGTATGGGTTAGAGCTGGACTCACATCACTGGAATACTAAAAGATAGCTGGATGGCAACTAGATTAGCAACATCATTAGTTTATTAAGAAATAATTCTGAGGGTCCTGTCACTTGTTAAGTAAATGCCCTCTTGTGTCTAAGCTTCTAACTGAAAATAATTCTTATTACTAGATTCTTGAGCAACAGGAAGACTTCTCCAACACAGGCTTCAGTTCTGGGTGAAAGGCCATTGCAGGAGATGATGAATCACAGGATATCAAAGCTTAAGTGATCCAAGAAGCTGTCCTGTGTTAGGGGCCTGAGTGAGGAGGGGCCTGATTCAAAGTCCAGCTGCTTAGGCTTCCTTCTGCTGAGGGCCCTAACCTTGGCCTTGAGGATCCCAGGTTTAAAAACACCTATGTGGCCAGTTTAATCATACTAGAGAGACTAGGAAAAAATTATGAACCATTATCCAGCTTTATATATTCATTAACACTTAGTTTAAACAGAAATAAAATATTGCAAATATAAGTCCCTTTTGCATTTTTTTCTTAGTTTAAGAACAGTATTTATGAGCTTCGTTTTGCATTGTTGCCTGATCCCCCACCATACCTAGAACACTGATTTTTCATTCCTATACATCATGTTTTTATACTTTTACCACACATATACATTCTTAAAAAATATATAGTATTGATCTGATTGTCTTTAACCAATGTATAAATGAAATCATATTGTTTCATTTTGCACCTTGCAATTTATTCAGCATTATATTTTTGAAATTTATGCACTTGGATACATGTAGTCCTAATTCTTTCATTTTAACTGCTGAGTTATATTTTCATTTTATGAATACACCACAATTTATTCATTAATATTTTGTTTATTAACCTACAGATTATTTCCACTTTTTTTCCTTAATACAAACAATATAACCTTGTACTTATCTCTTAGTTTTTCTCAAATAGGTACTTGGGAGTAAATTTTTTTTGATCATAGGAAATACTAATCTTTAGGCTTAGTAGGTATTGCTAGTTTCTCTACACAATGGTGTTAGCAATTCATACCCACCTTTGCCAACAGCACTGTGTAAGATTTCTCCTAGCTCCACATCCTTACCAACTCTTTAAGACCTCTCTGATTACAAATGGGAAAATTATACCCAGAGGACACAGGTGTTTAGTCACCGAGGTTAGTGTTCAACTATATCATCCCACTTTCTACACATCTCAAAAAAATGTTTAGTTAAATAAACTGTTACAAAAATTATGGAGGATGCCTTCATTATCTGACAGAATGACTTAAAATGAATCTGTGTCATTAAAATGTGCTTGGATTGTATATAAAAAGGTAATCAGGGAAATTTGTTACATGAAGCCCTCAAACTGTACATGACCTTCAAATTATTAGTAAATACTGGAGCTCTGCATTTATAGATGTCCATTTGCGAACTTATAGTATATAAATTATACCTAATTTAAAGTCCTATTTACAATTGAAGCTTTTTTTTCTCTCTCTCTCAAACACACCTGTTCTCAAAGCAACTTTGAGCCTTAAACAGCAGACATGTGTCTAAGATTTGTTACAGTTTCAGTAAGAATACTGCAGCTCTGAATGTGGCGAGAGGCAAACAGCTGTTCCTCTTACACAGTAGTGTAAACAATTTCATCTTCTGAGGGCATTTTGCCAGCAAGTTTTTATTAGCTGTAGAATATTAATACTATTAAAAATGTTTTCAGCCAGGTTGATATTTACCTGTTGAAATTCTTTTGTAAACCTTTAAGTATGTTAAATACTCCTTTTCAAGTGGAATAGAAGCTAAACAATCTCCCTGCCTCCCCTTACCCCATGTTCTTTGATATAGAAGAAAAACTCATACTTGCAGACTACCTTGTTTTGAAGAGGGTTAAAAATCCTGCATAGATAAAGTGCATTGATGGCTAACAGGGAATGGTGAATTTTCATGTCCCTTTGGTTGTCCCTTGAGCACTCCCACTTGTTTCCCCTTAAAAGAGTAGAAGGAAAAGAATCATTCGACGACTGGAATATTAGTCTTCAAATATTCAACAAGTGGTTTGCCTCATTGATTTTGTAATTCTCCTGTAAGGCATATAGAAATTAAGCTTGGCCATCTCCATCTTATAGATGGGATCCTAAAAGGAGACAGATTGACATGTTAAATATCATACAGAATTAATGGCCTCAACCCACATGGCACTTGAAAATGAAAACCTCCCGTTCTATTTCCTTTATGTTTAGAAAGCTAATAAGTAAAATTCACTATGACATAAGAGTACCTGGTATGCACGGAAGAAGACACTGCATTGGCTACAGTAGGCCAGTCTGTGTTGAGTATCAGTACTTTTGGATTTTTTCAACTTCACATGTTATGATTTGCTGTCAAGATTGAAGGATGACATCTGTTGTCTCATATCATCAAAGTAGTTTTAAAATATTGATGTAGCAGAAAGTTAATTAATTAATTAGTTAATTAATTTATTTATTATTTCCTTTTCTAATATTCAATATTATTCTTGTTTTATTTTGTTTTCCCTCTTTATAGTACATGGCCAGTAATATGCAACACCTATTGGTGTAAGGAATGGGGGAAAAAATCTGCTTTCATGGAGCTCAAAATGATTTCGGAAAATATAATGTAAACACATTTAAAAAATTAAGATACCAAGCTAACATGTAATTAAGTGCCACACAGCTCAGATTATAGGTGAATTGGGAGTTTGTAAGTTGACAAAAATTGCTTCCTCTAGGGACGAAAACTTGCAGTTGGCATAATGAAGTCATTCTTTGTCTCTTTGGGGAGAAAGGGACTTGGATCACCCTCGGCCATAAAGCCTATTATTCAATTCAGGCTAAGTCAAGTGTATTTTCCTTAACAGGAAAGTCAAATCTTAGGGTAATGAAGGTAGAAGTCTACTTGTGTAGAAAAGTGAACTTTTCCGTTAAGGCAAATGGGCTTCAGCCAAATGTTGAGAAAACCTTGCTTGAGCCACTTGCCTCTACTTCTGTCTTCTAGTCTACCTCAGACTCAATCTTGTCACCATAATACTTATCCTTGACATCAAAAGTAGTCCTCTGCTGTCATCTATCTCCTGAAAACAGAACCTTTTAGATACCTTTACCTAGAATGCATGTGTCTGAGCTGGTAATATGCCATGCTCTTTACACATACTACTCTTCCTTTCATGGACTTCTCCTTCCCAGCTGGCTAATTTACACTCACTACTCAAGCCTATCTTTCTCTTGAGGTCTTTACTGATTACTGTGTAATGTTCCTGTTCATGTGTTTTCCTAACTCTGAGTGGTTTCTCAGTTAGTATTCAACTTGGAGTCTTTAGCATACATAATAAGCTTTCAATAAATGCTTGATGAATGAATAATGTTAGATATAAAAAGGTCTTATCAATTTTTCTAGAGGTTGCATCCACCCCACCCCACCTCACCCCCATCAACACATTTTACCAGATTCAGGGACTCCTTTGAGGGCATTTTCCTTATTTACCTTGG